AGCTTTTGCAGAACGTTTTAACAAGACACTCACAAAAATACTCTATAAAATCCAAGATGCTGTTGAATCTATATATCCTAATTCAAAATTGATAAAAGTATAGGTTATGCATTTGCCTATGGTTATCGATTATTTAAATAATTATCTTACGCGTCTTATTCGAGAATCAGGATCAGAAAAGTGGGAACTCGAGCCAGTAAAAGCCATTACATTAGAACGAGTAGAATCTAGACCATCTACAAAATATAAGCGTCTAATTGGAAAAGATGAAATAAGATTAAAGAAAGGATATACTGTCCGCTATCTTCTTGCTAATGCAGAATGGGAGGGTAAAATGGCAAATCAGAAGCGTGCAACTGACCCTAATTTCAGTCTAAGTCTTCATAAAATTCAAAAAGTGGTTATCATAAAGAATGAACCAGCTTTGTATTATCTCGAAAGTGATGAATTTACATCAAAGCGGGGTTTGTTAGAGAAGAACTCATGTTAATAGCTGACCCAGAAAAAGTTGGGTATCCGCCCCAAAGCATATTATCTGTGCATGTTGCCTATGTCATTAATAGAAAGATAGATCAAGCTATTGATTATGCCAGAAGACGTGGTGGTCAGTGTTTAGGAAGGACTGGTCAAATAAATGGTCATGATGTGTATCTTTGGTCTTGTGAGAATGATGCACATCAATGGGAGTATCTGTTAAAATATATCATGAAAAAATTCGAATGGTGTCCTCTATGCCATCATACTCAAGAGCGTAAATGCCGATATATTTTTGAGAATTTGTTAGGCAAGAAATTCCCACTATGTAGGGCTAAGTTCTTAGATGGGCTACACTTGGATGGATATAATGAGGAATTGCATCTTGCATTCAAATTTTAGGATTCTCAACACTATCATCATAATAGTTTCTATCACCGGGAGAATGAAAATCTAAAATCACAAAATATGTGCGATCAAAAGAAGCAGAATATATGCAAAGACCAAGATATATGCCTTATCAAAGTGCCATATACATGTGACCTTTTTCCCTATATTAAGCATACACTTATCGAAAAAGGATTCTTGAATAGTTCTCCCAGTTAAGTTAGAGAGTATTTTTTTAGCATTTTTCCAAAATCGCAGGTCCTGCAAATTTACTAAGAAATTCATTTCAATGTATAATACTATATGGAATTCTTTGTGTATAACGTTGACGAGATCCCCAGAAAATCTTTGGAGCGTCTGAAAGGCAATAAATATTTTCCAGAGTGGCCTTTTCGTATGGTAGTCATTGGGTTCACATAGCGGAAAAACTAATATGATTAATATGATTATAAACCTTATTCTAGGCAATAAACTTCAGCGCATGTTTAAAGGCAAGAAAGGGGATAGATATATTAAAAATGATGATCTCATTTTAGTTGAGAAGCATGCCGAGCCAAAATGGGAGCTGGTAAGAAATGCTATTCATATTTTTGCTAATAGTCCTGAGCCATATTGGGAGAATATCTCATTTCAAACAATAAAGACGGAGAAGATTCCAAATATAAGCAAATTTTCTCCAAAAAGAAGTACTGTTGTTGTTTTTAAAGATCTCTGTGCTGAGTCAAAAAAAATACAAGAACGCATTGTTCCTTACTTTATTAGTGAACGGCATCAAAACATATCTCCAATATATGTAACTCAGAAATATTAAGTCGTGCCAAAGATAATTCATGAAAATATTTCCCATTTAGTCATGTTCTGAGGCAGTGAAAGTAGGGACGATATCCAAAGAGTTGTGCGTCAATATACAGATGATCTGAAAAAGGCATCCAAGATTATTGACAAGCATCTGCGGGATCGGAATTTCATAGTTTTTGATTTTACTAAGGCGATAGATGATCCATTAGCAATTAGACTAGGTTGGGATACTCCTTTGAAATTAGAAGAATAAAATCTAAAAATTAGTGAATCTTTGTTCACAATGAAAAAATTATCCTTAAATGATGCTTGTACTATTGCCAAATCTCATGGTGGAATATGCCTTTCAACTGAATACAAAGATAACAAAATCCCATTAATATGACGCTGTTCTAAGAATAATACGTGGTATGCCACACTTCGTAAAGTTAAAAATTGTGGAACATGGTGTCCGCACTGTGCAGGTAATATAAAACACACTCTTGAAGATATCAAAAAAATCGCATTATCTAAATATGGGGAGTGCCTTTCAACTAAGTATAAAAATAATCAACTACCATTATTATGGCGTTGCAAAGAAAATCATTTATGGCATACATCTCTTGTAAATGTGAAAAGTGGTAAGTGGTGTCCATATTGTGCAGGTAATGTTCGTCTTACTCTTGAAGATGCCAAGCAAATTGCACTTAGCCGAAATGGTAAATGTCTTTCAATCGCATATAATAATTCTAAAACTCCTATGACATAGAAATGCCATCAAGGTCATATTTGGAATATCCCGCTTAATAATATTAAAAATTCTGGTTCATGGTGCCCATATTACGCAGATCATATGAAATTAACTCTTGAGGATGCAAAACAGATCGCATTATCTAGACATGGGGAATGTCTTTCAACTGAATATAAAAACATAGCTGAACCACTTACTTGGCGTTGCCAATCTAATCACCAATGGTAAAATACACTTAATCACATTAAAAATGGAGGACAATGGTGTCCATTTTGTATTGGCCGATACCAATCTAGAGGATATGCGTAAACTTGCGCAAATAAAAAATGGAGATTGCCTTTCAGATCGATACTATATTTCATCTGTCAAGCTAGAATGGATTTGCAAGAATAAACATAAATGGGAAGCTATTCCTAATAGTATTCAACAAGGAAGCTGGTGTCCATATTGCACAGGTCATATAAAATTATCTCTTGAGGACGCGAAGCAAATTGCATTATCTAGATATGGGCAATGCCTTTCAACCAAGTATAAAAACAATCAATTACCACTATTATGGTATTGCAAAGAAGGCCATATATGGCAAGCATCTCTCAGTAATTTGAAAAGTGGTACCTGGTGTCCATTCTGTTATAAATATAAACGCGAACAATTATGTCGAGAAATTGTAGCAAAGTATCTTGGTCCAACATCTGAAAATCGCAGACCAGATTTCTTGAAAATTCCTGAAAATCCTAAAGGATTAGAACTTGATATTCCCTATTATGAATATGGATTTGCAATTGAAGTGCAAGGAGAGCAACACGAAAAATATATAGAATTCTTTCATAGAGGAGACCCGAATAATTTTATCAAGCAACAAGCACGGGATCAACTCAAGAAAGAAATATGCAAAGAAAATCAGATTGCCTTAAGGTATGTTTGGTATTACGAAGATCCATATATAGTTATTCCAGAGCATCTTCGGGAATTGGGTCTCATTGAAACTTTAAATGCAAATCACTACTAAATCATTATTATTTTTTCGATGCATGATTAACCGCAGGAGATGGTGCCAGGGACTGCGCTACAATATGGTTTATTCGATGAGTTAAAAAAATACAACCCAATACAGTATTGCATATCAATTTCGAAAACCCGATGCGGGTAAACTAATACTTTTTATTTATGCATAACTACTCAAAAAGTCTGTCCACTAATTGCGCAGTGATGTGGCGCAATAGAACATTGTGCATAAGAAAAAATTTTACTCTGTTAAGGAATATTACTCCGCTAATACCAGTATAAGAGGCAAAAACATTTATTAACTTTTGAGAACATTATAAAGCGTAATACAAAAATAAAGTTAACATGAATTTTTCTACCATGAAGAACAATGTTATTTTGATGCATTACATATCATTGAAATACAGTATTTAATAATTCCACATTAAAAAAAGCAAGGAAATCAATTCGGGATAATCCACTAAACGATATCATCAAATCGAACTTTTCTAATAATGTCCCTTATCATCCTTTATTTTGTATCACAAGACCATGGTAAAATAACTGTAGGTGGAGGAGTTTCCGTGCCTATTGTGATAAGTTCCTGTAAAAATTCATCATCATTTTGGGTTTTCATGTTCACAGTCTCTATACAACCCAAGACTATTCGCTATGGTACAAAAGTAATAAGAAGATAAATATATTTTGCTGATGAAAGAACACATTGAGATAACACATACCTTCAACATCCATACATTGGCCAAAACCCTGATAAGGTCTCTTATTTTTTCGATAGTAGCTGGTATCTCAAAGAGCTTCTCCCTTTTTAATATTGATACATAACCCTTGGGACTACTCAAATACGAAACTTGCAATTTGAGGCCTATAACACAAATTAACTCAGTTTACTTACAGTAAAAATTATGGAATACCTTATTTTGCTTACCCAAGTGAAGCATGCCGACAACTCGCAGTTTCCTCACTCTTGTTTCTTCGAAATGGACTTTTTTGCTCAGGCATATAAGTATGTCGTGCATAGCTTTTCCCAGTTTGTACCCATCAGCAAGCAATTTGGTTTCTTCAAACTTCTTACCCACTTCAACTGCTCCGTACTCCACATTATCAACATACATTCGAAATATCCCGTCCATTCTATATCCCATCTTTTTACGACCCGCTTCTTTGCGACGTGTACGTATCCTCTTCCGATTTTTTCTCTTGGATACGGCTTCACTTGATGATTCCTTTCTGTTAAAAAGTAGTAAGTTAAAATCCAATGATCACAACATATCATAGGAAGCATGTATATACCTCACGGTTTCCATTCCTATTACATTTCGAAGACCGTGATCAACGACTAGAGACCAAACGTTTATATCGTACCAGGATTCGAGATGTTGTTTTTGTAATAGTTCGTTAGGATCCTCATAATCCGTAAGACTTTCAATAATAAACGGATAAATATGTTATTAAAGCTTTGTTTCAAATAAAAAGTAAATACTCACAATTTTCTCATTACGAGTTCAGCCCACTCTGCGTCATAATGTTTTTCGCGATTATAAGGTTCATTCTCATTTAGGAAGGACGTCGTTTTTAAGACCTGTCTCAGTTCGTTTGTTGTTTTAACCTGAAATTGGAAATATCATCAAGTTTTTGGAATTAAAAAAAAAACTAGTTACAACTTCAACTCACGTTGGAAAATCGTACCATGGACTCTGCAAAAGTTCTATCAACTTCTGGTGGTTCTCTTACTGTATGGCGAATCTCATTCCATTCTTCCACATTAAATAACATTTCTGCTTCTTGATCGTCTAAGTCAATAATCCACGAATGGAGATAAGTTTCGACTGGCAGTTGCTTACAGTGTTCATAAATTGTGTCTTCGACACACTTTCCACTTGAGAGAAACCACTTTTGTGCCACATTCATTTTTGCGTAGGATTTTTGGAATTCCTTGAGCTGTGACGATAATAACAATGATGGAGGACTCTGATCTTCGGCACCACTTGTATTAAAAAAGATATAAGTTGTAAACCTAGCAAAGAAATTTCAATCAAAAGAATTATTAATACCTTGGTATATAATCAGAATCTTCGTCTTCAGATGTAGAATAATCCAAATCTTCTTCCTCAGATGTAGAAGTGGATTCTTGTTCTTCAAACTTGGCCTAAAAAAAGGGACCCATCAATTAATTATTCAGTCTTTGATTGCTATGAATAGTCAAACCGTGATAACTGAACAATTCACTTCAATGTGAAGATCATACCTTGTCCTTGTTGTCTGCTTCATTGCTTACGATTTCTGATCTCCACCGTTTCTTAATTGGATTGGTTGATTCTTGTTCAGGGGGACTTTGAAAAAAGTTATTGATCTCGTCATTCAAATCCTATAGAAATATAAGGTCAGTATAACGAAATGGAATAAAAATAACAAACGATAAAAAGAAAAGAATTAAGAAAGAAGTCATCATAGCTATATAACCAATGTGATTTAAGAACATACCAATTTTATCGTTTTATTATCATGTTTTTTTTCCTTCGCCATAAACTTTGTACTAAAGGTTCCTTCATTAATCCCAACAGACCCAACTACAGTGCTGTCCATGATTGTCGGTTGATGGAAGTGAACCGAGGGTTCACTGGCTGTATGATTCTTACGTTCCTTCCATTTTCGTGCTACTGTAAAATCAGGCCGTTTACCCTAGAATAAAAGATGAGATTAGTGATATTCCCAACTGGTATCTCCATATTATTTTTTATTTTTATCCCCCTGGTGTCCTCGAAGGATTGAACAACAGACGAACTCGAAGCTCTCTATTGTCCCAGGGGGGCCAGTGCTGGTCACCTCGAAGGCTTTAAACACCGGCAAACTCGAAGCTCCCAGTGCCCCAACGCTGGCTTTGTGGCTCAGCTCGAAGCCTTGAATGGTAAGCATTCTCAAAGAACCTTACCACGCCACCTATTCCTGCATTTCCAACAAAGAAAAAACTCGTACTTGCCTTCTTATAATTATCTAGCAAAAGCTGTGCCTTTTTGCGTTTTTTGCCTTCCTCCATTTTAACAATAGCCTTAAGAGATGTAATATAACTTTCTATTTTGCGGTCGAACAGCTCCAAGTCACAAACTTCCAAAAACTCGGTAATATTCCATTTCGATGATGGAGTCTTGAAATATTCGTGTATTTGTTGAGGTTTGGACATGTTTAGTGACAATCGTGATAAAATACTGTAATTGCGATATTTTTTATTTATCAATCACAGGACACAGGGCGTGATAAGGTTACGCAAACTATGATCATCTGATTTACTAACATAAAGTATTAAGTTACAAGAGAAATGTATGATGCTATCAAAGAGGGAGGGAGTACGCGGATCCTAGGCCATTTAATGCGAGTCCCAGCATCAAGTTATTTCTTTACTCTCTTACATTTTTTACGAAAAGTATCTATAACTAATTTATTTCTATCAATATAACTAACTGCAAGATTCTCACCCCCACGCTCTTTACTATTCTAGATTTTCTAAATAAATTATCCCACCCATATCTACGCCTATCTATATCACTACCACCTGCACAGACTATGTAAAATAATATTTCCCGCAAGAGAAGTTTTATGAGAGGAAGTAATTTCGATTCTATAGAAAGAATTCGAAGATTAGCAATGAGATATAAAAAATAATCAATGCAGACGTGTTTCCGATTCATACTCACCACTACGATTCATTCTCATAACATTCCATTCCGCCTGAAATTTGTTGCTTAATACATTACAATAAAGGTAATTCGATTTTTTTATCGTCAGTATGATACTGCGCTAAGAATCAAGAATTCGGCACGTGAAGATGCTTAATTTTACTGCGTCGATGATGCACATGGAATTGACTAGATAAGATAATATCCCATCACGGGGATTTATTTTTGTGATACTGCGCCAGATGTATGCGTGATGATTGTCAAAGATGAAGACATTCGAAAGCTAAATTTACAATATTTTGAGATTTTATACTTATCACAATACTTAATAGCAAGAAGTATCACTTACGTCCAATTTTTTCTTCAAAAAGGAGGTTACAGTGGGATGAAAAGATTTTTCGTAATTAATATAAGCCCATCCTTCCGCTACTCTTAAAGTAGTAATGACTTTGGTGACATTATTAGTTCTGTATTTAACTTCATCACCTTCATGGACAATTTTATCTCTAAATGTGAGCTGTAATTTCGTATTCCCTGTCCAACATACCAATAAAGAATATTACATACTACACATATTTTCTCAGTCTGCGAAGAAATGAAGGAAACTTACCATAAAATCGTGATCGTTTCTTTATTGCATCTAGCATATCAGAAAGCTGAGTAAAAAATTCTGTATCTTTCTCAACATCATGATCTAAAAATTCTATATTAGAATCTGCATCATACTCAAAGAAAATATCTCAAGCAGTCAAGCTCTAAATAAATTCTAACCTTGATTGAATGACAAATTTGCTGTCCTTTGTGTCAGCTGATCCATTATATCCTGATTGATCTGATTCATTTTAACTAATTCTCTATTTTTGGATAGAAGCGAGGAATCAACGATAACATGCGTACATCCTTCTTTTGGTCGCCTTTCTTCATCATCCCAAAAATTTTCAACCCTTTCTCGAAGCTTAGTTACATTTTTCGTTTTATTGTTATTCAAGACAAGATTAGAAAATTCTTCTTCACTGTTATTATCGATTTCCACCTTCCACAACCTTAAGTCATCAGCTTCAATCTCAAGGAAATCGTTATTTGTCTTCTTGACTTTTTCGTAAATTTTCTCTTTGAGATCATCAATATAATCGGTGGTATGGACAACAATGGTGAATTCTTTAGAATTTTCTTCAACATCTTTGAAGAGCCAGCAGGTCAGCTCGACGTCCACCATGATTCTGTAATTATTGCCTATGATTAATGCTACATATTTATAATTCAATTTTCAAATTGCCTCTTTCGCCTAATTACTGCGGTTAATGATATGGAAAATTGATATCTCTTCTGAAAAATTGTAGATCTCGACAATTGCAAAGTTTCCACGCACTAACAACATATGATTTTTTATTACTAATATCATCAAGAATCGACAAACCATTTCCTTTTATAGAATATTTAGGTTGCCTTCTGCAATTGTCCCATTGAAAAACACTATTTGTATTTCGTTAAAAGGATGGCTATAAATATATGCGAAAATTTATATAGACGATTTCCAGACTAGCTGGATCGAACGTGTCAAACTGTGCATAAAACATACTGCATCCATGGGTCAAGATATGAATTGTGCATGTTGGGATATGTACTACTAATTCCTATTCAAAAACGGATTAATGTGTGATTAGCCTATACACGTAATTTGAATGCGCTAACAAAACTAGGATAATAAAAATTTACCGTTTATCTGAGGATCTGTAAATCATATATTCTAATCGCTCTATTTTTATTTTTTAATTTCTTTTTAATGTCGCCCTGTCTTACGATCCGCATGTAAATCAGGAATGCATTTTTTATTAGTAATTCAGAACTGCGTAATGAGTAAGATAGAACATACCAGAACTTCTTTTGGCTTAACGCTGATGGGAAGGTTCATCAGTATGTCAACACAAATACTGATCTTGGCCGGGGTTATTAATAGATCCTACGATTGTGAATATCGGTGACGTACTACTGCGCTTAGCATATTCTGCGGATATTAATTCACATGAACCGGTGAGACAGTGACGTCTTACTGCGAAGTGCCAAAAGAAAATATAGATGACGTTTACATGATATCTAAGCCACCCACGTGATTTGAAAAAAGAAAGAAACTATATAAAAATCCAGTCTATGCGAATGAACGATTATTTCAATATTACTCCTAGGATTTATTACTGAGTGAGATACGGGATCATTAAAATATATATCACAGTTCTTGTAAATTTCCACGAGTATTTTATCAAAATCATCATCATTTACTTGGAGGTCACTTTGTGACTGCTCTTTAGGCTTAGTTGATGTTTTATTCTCTAACTTCGCTATTCTTGCCATTTTTTCATGCATGAGCCTTTCATAAAGTTCGTGATCATACTCATCATCGGAGTCAGAGTCATCGGATTTGAAATATATATCAGAATCAGATTTATTGGCATCAGAGTCAGCGTCTGACTTAAAATAATCTGTATCATCTGATGTGTCTCTAAAATTATCACCTGAGTTAGAGGGTCCCTCTAGGACTGAGTCATGAGCTGAAGTAGTAGTCACAGGCTCAGAGATTTTGTTCGCAGAACTAATGATTATCTTCGATTTGACCTGTTCTATGATATATTCGATTTGAGGATTAGTGAGTCTTGAAATTCTGTCAGCATTACAGGTGATCTGATTAACCATATACCCTGGTATTTCATTAATCCTTTTCAGAGTTTTAGGGTCGTATTCATAGCCAAATAGCTTATTGATTTTTCTTGCTTTACAGGTCATTACACGTAAATATCCATCAGAAACACCCGTAAGGTATGGTTTCATTTCATTATAGATCTGCTTTCTTGCAGTCTGATCTGTAAGTTTCTTATCATTAGACCTAAGCTCCACGAATTTATCTTCAAACTTTCTGGAGAATAAACACCATAATGTAATCTCTGATCGCTTTGCTACGATCATTTTATTTCTTGCAATATTTGCCTGGTAGAATGAATTGGCAAGTTTTTTGATGCTTATTGATCAGGGAACTGGAGGTCTGGGAGGAGAAAACTTTATAGTCTGGAGTTTATTGTCAGATGAGAGTAGTTCTTTCAACAAACCTTGTACGAATTCAGTTATCTCTGAACAGGAGGTAAGCGAAGTATTGGTAATAGTTTCTCTCTCATGTGACAATTTCGAATTTTTGGAAAACCTGTTAACAATGTTAACGGGTTTTTATCACGTGATAATTCAGAATTTTCAGAAATCATGTTAACAGGTTTTATATCGTGTGACACTTTCGATTCCACTGCAGAGATTTCTTCCTGAGGGATATCTGCAATGATCAATTGCTCTGCAACCACCTCTATTTCATGAGACGGTTCATCATTGTTAACCGTTTCTGATGCATAAGCAGTATCGGTGGCGCTATCCTGGTTAGCTAATTCATGTTGGAGTTTCTTCTCCTTATTATGTCACCTAATATCTTCACTAATGCTTTTCTTATTAACCTTGTTCAAGAAATCATCTATTCCCTCATCCTCCGGCTTTTCATGATGGTCTGCACCTGAATTGAAGTTAGATGAGTTAATGTTAAGGGTATTATCATTAGGGGTATTATTATTAGGAGTATTATCATTAGGAGTATTATCATTTAACATCTGCCTCTGTTCCACTTTTGTGACACGATCTCTAAGCTCAGCATTCTCTTTAGTATTATTTTTCCTCAACTTCTCGATTGTGACCCTGAGTTTGACATTTTCAGCATCACGCCTCATTCTCTCTTCCTCAGTTATTCTTAGAGTCTCAGCAATCGTACGCTTAAGTTCAGCTCTCTCAGCATCGAACTCTGAGATCTTTCTTCTAAGATCAGGGATCACAGTATTCTCCTTCCTAAGCTCTGCATTCTTAGCCTCAAGTTTGATGATACGCTGTTTTAATACTTCAAGCTCGGATGTCATGATCAATAACATTTTATAGAAGATATAGAATATTCAATAGTCCGTTAGGACATGTACATTCTGCTAAGAAAAATATATAGATTATGAAGTCACTTCCTGATCTCGGTTCAGGAAGTTTTGCCAAGAAAAATCACATGATATTTTTTTATTTTAAATATGAAAGTGAGCATGAATAATAAAGAAATGCCTTGTAATTGGTTATTAGTTAGAGAGACCTGTTTCTATAAAAATTCGACACAAGAGCAATATTGTGCCTCCTATGCATTCAAAATACGAAAGGGTGTAATAATCCCACAACCATGTAAAGGATGTAGTCAGGGCACTAAATCGAGCGTTCAGCTCTGTGTCCCATGTGGTCAAGGTAAGGAAAGAGCATATATATACTATAAACAGAAGTATGCGAAAGAAAATCAGCTTAGATCAAGCTAAAGATGTTTGGAATTAATTTGCTAAAGAGGTAATTAAACATATCCATTTCATAAGTACTAATCAACTATTATCAGTTTCATAAATGTTAATTACGAGAATTAGTATTCAAGAATCGGTCACTCCTAATGAAGTATTCAACCTTCTAACGGGATGTTAGATCAAAACTAATGGTAAGCTATTCCAGAAGCTGATCCACGAAGGTTACAGATACGCTAATAGACTTTCAGATTATTTAGAAGATATTGGAATCACATACGTTGGTGAATTTGAATTAGATCCCCTAGCTGACTTCTACTATCCAGCCTTAATTCCCCCTTTATCTATCTTAGCAATTAGAGCAGATATTCGTGAAAATTTTATTATTAGTGTGGAGTCTGCTGTTGTAGGAGGAATGAGTTTATTTACCCTGGAAAAAAATAGACAGTCCTCACTTCAGAATTTAATTCAAATAAACTATTCCAGCGATAACTTGTCTACGCTAATAGGAATAACTTGGGAGTATAAAGAAACGAAAGCTTGGAGGAATGATGTGCTTATGAAATTCCTCCATCATTCGAATTTATCTCCTTCAAAGTATAAACTAGGTGTATTATATGATGCATTTACTAAGACGAGTGTTTTAGAGCCAGAACATATATTGGCTCTAACGCAAATTTAAGGCATGATTATGATATAAATAAATTGTTTATAGCCCTGGAATGGCAGTTCTATAACCATATATTTTTTCGCTTATCATATGTACCTGCAAAATTCAATTTTTTTTTTATTATTACAATGCAAAATAAATACATAGATTGGGACGTAGCTAGCGATATATATTATTAGAGAGACACATTATTACTATAGACATCTTCATTATCTGATTCAGTTTCAGAGCCAGAGCTAGAAGATTCTGAATCAGAACAGTAATCTTCATCAAAATCAATATGAATATTTGGATTTAGCTAGTCCATAGCTTTTTTGCTAATATTTTCACATCCTTCTAAATCTAGAGATTTTAAATTGAGACATGAGCGAGCAATTTCTTCGATAGTCTTACTTGTAATATTACAGCAACTAAGGTTAAGATGTTGGAGCTTTGGACAGGAACGTATAACATTACAAATTGATGGTTCACT